AACTACTGAAAATATTAAAATCTTCCAAAACCAACATAGCATCTGCAATTATATCACATTATTTCCATCCAGGTCACTGGTTTTGCATAATAATACTGGCATATTTAAAGCTTACATTCCAAGATGTGCTGAAATCTCTTTCAGCTTTGCCTTTTTGTGATGCTCAGTCCTTCCAGCTCCTGTTGATACCACCTACCATTGGGGCCGCTCACCCTGTAAAGATAAGTCCTTGAAAACTAAAGTGCATTTGTGATACTGAGGACTAGCCCAAGCATCTGTATTCAAAGGGCTACCCTCACCATTACTGTGAGCTTCACAGGCCAGCTTTCCAATGTAGCCATGATAGAGTGTTTCTGCTTGGGAGCTGAGGCCCAAGTGTGCTACCGTGTTGACATGGAGAGAGGAGGAACTATGCACTTGCTCTTCCAGTAAGGACCATTTAGAGCCTGTGTGCCGATGGAATGGCCTCCACTGTGTTTTGCAGATGCTCTTGTTACACAGCACTGAGCAGGCAGAGCTTAGGTGCTTCATGCAGAGCAGTTACAATGGACTTCTCAGCTTTGCATGAGTGCTGAGCAGTGCAGTGTGTCAGTAGTAAAATTAGTTAAGAAAATACCCTACAAAGAGGAATGGTACAACTGAAAGTCCCAGTAAGTCCTGGAAATCTGGAATACAGACGGAGCACGCTCAGCTCGTTGCTTTATCGTGTATCCACAAAAGGCTGTCACTGGCAAAATAGAAACAAATCAGGAAGTAATTTTCTTTTCTCTTTCTATTTCTGTTATAGTTTTTACCCAACCCACTGAAAACTAACCATGAAATTATGGAATTAAAAACTGGGAAGTTAGGTATTCTGCATAAAAATTAAACACATGACAGAGGAATTTTTACATACAAATACATTGTGCAAAATATACAGGGGTCACAGGATACAAATTGTGGTAGTATCAGAGATAGGAGGAGTTAAAGATCCCCCACTCCAGGTGTTGTAAAGTCAAAAGTGAAGCTTACTTCCCAAGAAACCAGAGGTTCTCTAAGGTGCGTTATTGTGAGAGTGAGATCTGTATGTGTGTGTATATGTATCTCCATATACACATCCCCTCTCCAGAGTGTAAATGTACACGTGGGTGATTGTTTCAATGGGGTATATTTCAGCCTTAGGAGTTTTTGTACACTATCCAGACTTGGGATGCTGAGTGTTGAAACTCAGATGGTGGTTGGGATTTACTAGTACATAACTAGGGCAGTACTGTCTTTCTTTTAATAGTCTGTCCAAAGAGTGCAGTTTGGAAGGAGGACAGATATATAAGTCATATAATGAAGTAAGGGGAGAATATTTCTGCTTAAACAGATGTAGATAAACTGACACATCCTGTTGATTTCTGAGGAGGTAAAAATAGTACCTTGTGTGGCTTTTACAGTGCTGTAAGATTCAGATTTACAACCAACCAAACCAAAAAAACCACCCTCTAAAACAAACAACCAAACGAAAAACACCCCATTGCTCCAGGCCTTCCATTTGTGGTCTACCAGTCCGGAAAAACTTGGGTCTTCTGTGAGCATAATCAAAGGAGAGAAACTACTGTTAGTTCAGCCTGATTTCTCCAGTCCCCAATCCTGATTGCTTCTTGTCACAGAAGAGGAGCACTGTACCATCCTTTTTCTCATGATTGACACATTCTCATGGCCAGAATGGAGTCTTCTTGGACAAAGACTTGGCACAGGTTCCTGAGATGTCAGCATGGCAGTAAGGAGGCAATTCTCAGATCCATGTGGCCTCAGAACCTCCCTGAACAAGCAGAAGAGTATCTATTACTGTACATCTAGATAGGAGTTGGGATAAGAAGAGCAAATATCAGCAAAATCCTTCTGCTGTGAGGCACAATTTTAAAATTGACAATGAAATTGCAATATACAGAGCCATAGGCTAACTTTAAGTAAGACAATCTGAATTCCAGTCAAACAGATGAGTGTGGCTGGATTGACAGGGCTTCACCACCAAGGGATTCTTCTTGACAGAAGAGAAAAGTAGTAACAGACTTAACATGGTATCCACAGAGGGTTGTAACAAAGATTAGGAGAGGTGCTTACTCTCATTAGAAATGAGCTTTATTATTCCATCTGATGAATATAAAATTTGCCAAATACCTAGTATTGGTAACAGAGTCTAGCTATTCAGGATCCTCAAAAATTTTTTTTTTCAACTGAATGCAACTGAAAACTCGATCATAATCAAAAAGAAAAGAAAAACAGTGAAGTTGCTGCCTGTAGTGAAAAGTAGGCAATGTAGCCCAAATGCCTAAAAATCCAAGTCATTCAGCAGTGCAAAACACAACGATAAATAGCATTGGCATGAAAAACTCATTTGAGGTGTGTCTGGGATGGTGTCACAGAACAGCTTTTTACTGTGCTCCAAGGAAAAGTTCAGTGCCTCATGATCTTTCTTCACTGTGAGGGTGGTGGAGCACTGGAACAGGTTGCCCAGGGAGGTGGTTGAGGCCCCTTCCCTGGAGATATTCAAGGAGAGGTTCAACGAGGCCCTGGGCAACCTGGTCTGGGGGTGTCCCTGCTGACTGCGGGGAGGCCAGACTAGATGGCCTTTGGAGGTCCCTTCTGGCCTGGGCAATTCTATGATTCTATGATTCTATGATCACTGGCTGCATGTACTTTCCCAGTGTCTCTTGGTCCCAGCTTCTGTGGGTGACCACCTTTTATGAACGTACTACAATCTCCTCTAATGAACTGTATGGGTCTGGAAAGCTTGAGCACCTGGGCTTACCTGAGTTAAGTAAGTCTCCTGACCTCAGGAAGAAATGGAAATCTAGAATTCAGACTCCGTTTTGTACGTGGGGACAGGCTACAACCTCTTTGCATCTAGCTATGAGTTTGCAGTACAAATATTATCTGTTGGGATTTGAGAAAAAAAGAATTGTCAAGGACAGGGCTGAAAAGTTTTTCTTAGTGTTTTTTTTTCTCCCATGGCTTCAAAACACAAGTAGAATCCCCTAGTGCATGTGTGATGTTCCTTGCTGAGGGACAAAAGGTCACCAGAGGTGGAAATGCTTAAAATAGTCATCGAATTTCCACTCACTTGAGTAACAGTTTATGCGTAGCCTTCTGGCTAAGTGTTACACATCTGCTATTGGACCTAACAAAATTATTTGTATCATGAGAAGGATATACCATTTGAGAAATGTTTATGGTCTGTAGAGTGTTAAATAATATCATTGTTTACTTCTATCCTAGTTTCCTTCAGTGCCATGCTCTGATCTGAGAACTTTACAGGTTCCGAATATACTGTTAGCTGAATGAAATGCTAGAGTTTAAGACTTGATTCTCACTCATAAACCAGCACACTCATGAATCCATGGACATAAATGTAGATTAGGCAAAGCCCAGAGTAGTACAGATGGCAGTTAGTTTGATGACAGTATCTTCAATAATATTGTAGTGATTATTTTAAATTTTTGGTATATTTTTGAATATGAAAGTGCACGTATAGGAAGTAGTTATGAGCATAGAGCCTCACCACTGCTAAAGCACATGTGCAATTTGCCATATGCAGCAATTCTTCAGAAATTTCTCAACAACCTCAGACACAGCCTTCCCCAGAACACATTTACAGATGATATCAGGGATTCTACAGAATGGCCTAATGCAATACCACTTTCCTGCAATAATCCATGAAAAATGACACAATAACATGCATGATTGCTCCCATGTCCCACATCTGAAGTCTATGCTGTCAAAATCCTAATTCAGACATTTGAACTAGTTTGGAATACCAAACACACAGAAAGTGTCGTTACCTTTATGTAAAATAATAATAAAATGTCTAACCACACCATCTTTGGTTATAAACACACATGCCACCTGCCCCCCCCAAACCACCCCTAAACCAAAGAACCAAAAACACAGGCCACAAGAAAAACCCCTCCACATAATACATTTTACCTCATAAAAATAGATTAAATAGACCATGTGTGTCCTTTAAAATTTACAGCATATATATAGAATATATGACTAAGGAGTACTGTAGTAATTTTCATCATTTTTAGGGTAATCTGTATGTTCTTTACTGCTCCAAAGTAATTCCAATCTTATGCCAACAAACCACTGAGTAAATTTTTGGAGAAAAGATCCTGCTTTTACTTAGTGTGTAGCACAACAAAGACCAGGACCTTCTGGATGAGACTGTAGATGTTATGGTAGTATAAATTAGTAATAGGAACTGTCAATGAGTTCTATGTGACACTGTGGGCTCTTGCAAGAGTTAGTCTCCGATAAACTTTTAGCACTTTGAGTTATTCTCAGATAAACATTTAACACTTCATGCTTAGGTAAAGTGATCTGTACAGAAACTTCCTCCTGGATACAGCTGCTCCATATTACACGTCTGATTTATGCTAGTATATGTTAAGACAAACGCTCACTGTGCAACTGCTGAGATCACTGGGAATCAGGTTAATTTAGATTATTTTGCTATAGGTTCTTGACTTTTGCACACTTTCAATTGAGCTCTCAGCCGAGTTGCCTTCCAGACAATTGCCTGGATAAGATTTTGAGGGCAGGTGTTAACTGTTTAGTATTAAACGTACCTGTCTCATTGCTACTGACTTTGGAGACGACACTTTCATATTTTTTTTCTGGTCATTGTTCTTCACAAAAGACCTAATTGAAAATATCTGTCAAATCATGTCTCTGGTTTCCCTCTTCTTCCCCCCCTCGCCCCCCATTAATTGGATACGTATTATGTTTGTGTGGGAAGGAAGGAGGCTCTATAGCAGTATAGCAATATTGCTGGGAAAAGAACATTAAAATGGATAAAGGGATTTCCTAGTGGTATAAATACCTGCACACGACCTCCCTGTGCTCTGGAGCCCTCCTGTATATGTATATGCAGGTAAAAAGCCTGGAATAGAGTTTGAGCTGCCGTTAATCGTGCAGGATCTGTTCTATTAGAAAACAGGGGCAACCGGCTCTTTTTCCTGTTGGAGGGTATGACTTGCCAAGCGTTTGCTTCATCTGACACCTTTGTACCCTTGAATTCTGACTCTTCTCCCTCTCTGCCTCTGATAATGCATCACAGCGCTGCAGAGTGCCTGCCGGTTTCTAACCATGCCACCAATGTTGTGTCTACAGGTACTTTTTAAAAAATAATCTTGTTCTCAGTAACTCTCATTTGTAACGCTTTAGGAGGATACATGTTCATTGAGTTCTGCAATATGTAAAGTGTTTGGTATCAATGCTGTGTGTGATCAGGACTGCATTAAAGTAGAAGCATTTCCACAAAACTCTGCATGATGAATAAACCAGGAAAATGCCAAAAAGGTTGTGTTTTAACTAAATTTGTAGCTTTGTCTAAGTTTGTTACAAGATTAAGCTCAAGAATGCTACCCATGCATAAACTTAGAACAGGCTCAGACACTGTCACCGTTGTTAGGACTATATAGTCTCCAGTGATGTGTCATGTAAGTTAATTGAAAGTTTAAAATACTTTAACTGGATTTAAAATAAACCAGGCTAAAATATCATTGGGGAATTGCTTTACGAAGTATTTTGCATACTGAATCAAGGCTAAAATTTTAAGCGGGATGTTCAAAATTGGTGGCAAAAGTCACATCAATATTTTTGAATGTTATGTATTTGGGTATATAATCCAATTAATTTCATTTAAATACTAGGACTGTGTAATCATTGAACTATCTGAGAGAAAGACAGAGAAAGAGAGAGTTTCCTCGCAGCCTTAAACTTGCAGAAGTGCGATTCTAGAATACAGCAATTGTTGATGGAAAGCTTTCAGGAACAGAAAAAGAAATAGTTTTGATTTATTTGAAATTGCATTATCGTATGAATTTTATTTGGAGTCTTAACAAGAAATTAGCCTTCTCCTGAAATGCATTGGTAATAAAACATTTTAATAAGAAGAAAGAGCATGTAAGTAATGAAAACTGAGCATTGGTGATGGATAACAGAATCTTATACATTAGGCAGGAGGCTCAAAATATCCTAATAAGGCTGTTGGTTGGTGGTGGTGGTAGTAGGGAATAGGAAAATTTTAATTTTGTATGAGGCCAAATTTATGAATCTGTAGCACAGTAGTATTTTCTAGATTCATCTAATTCATGATAAGAAGTATATGGTGACAGCCAGCTGGTCAAAAAATATTTGTTGTTCTGCTTCAGATGTGGGTTTTGATAATTTACAATTACCACCCAAGAACAAATGCCACAGTAGTCAGTGGGAATTTTGTTTGCAGGATCACATCTAGGAGGCGACCCTGTGAGAATGGAAGCAGTGAGAAGGGGTACTAACGACAATGAGTAAAGATTTACAAATTTCATACATAGATTCAGAAACTGTAATAAAAAATGCCATTCTGGTGGACGCATCTAAGGAGCACTGTACATGCAGTAGACATGAAAGAATTTTGAATAACAACGTATGTTAAATGTCCACATTTTTTTAAAATGCATGTAACAATTCTGCATCACAAAATAAAGGTGAATACACTTCTGTTCAGATACTATGCCGTGTCATATAGCTGATGTTCTGCAGTATCCTTAACAATTTAATTATTTTTTAATTTAAATAACATCATCCTCACTATTTAATTTTGAACCCTTATTAGCAACTCTGCTATTTTTATGCATAAAAAATAGTCTATGAATTATGAAATAATAGAAATTAACCACCAGTAAACACTAAGATCTTATCCCAACAGAAAAGTTGCATTGCTCTAAGTGCATTAGTATTATTAATGCAGTCTTTATTTTGGGTACATTTATGCTACTATAAGCATGCCTGTTTTAGTAGATTTTATATCTGTGTAAGTATATCTAAACAGGACATTTTACTGTTATGATTACAGTTATAAGACCCAGAAATTTTAATTCCTAATTAATGATATTGTTTGGAGTAACTGGAATGTGTGCTCTAAAGTGCAGTTTTACATATCTGACTGTTCACAAACATGAATTTTTAATATTATACTTTACAGCAGTTGTCAGATGGGACAGTGTATGCATTTCTGTGTTTATTTATGCATGAGAAACAGCCATATCTCTCATTTCGCATTCAGTAATAAATTGTCTGATTCTTCAGGCACTGATGAGTACTTAGCACAGATCTGGAACACCCCTGTGAAAACACTAGAGATAAATTAATTGTGCAGTTATTGGTGCTGATGGTGGAAAATTTTGGTTTAGGCTTAACTTTTTTTAGGAAAGACCAGAGTCTATCATTCTCTTTCCCTACCACACTGCCAAAGCACTCTGAAATGGTTTGGATGGCTTGGCACTTAAGAAAACATGACTTCTGGGTGCCTCAAAGCAAATGTCCCAAACTGCTGCTTTGGAAACCCGGGTCTTAGGCATGCAAAAACTGTTTCTTTTCTTGATGCCTGTGTTCACTGTGGGGTTTGCATGACAGTGAAGGCAATCAGCTTTCTGGGAACATAGAGCAAGTTTTGTGTAAGATCGAATGGAATGCTGTGTGGAAATTTGGTGGGGAGAGGAACCAGTTTCTTCCTGGAGAGTTCAATGCTTCCCTTGCTCAGCAATATATCCAAACCAGGTTATGCCCACAGATTATACTAAAAATAATGCATCAAGACCACAGCATGACGATTTCTGGTTTTGGCTCAGAGGGTATCTCACTATTTATACTGGCAGTCTAGTCTGGTGCAACCTGGCCAAGTGTCTGGACTTCCAGCAGTGTTAACCTGATGGTTATGGCCCAGAGTTAAATGCTTACTAAATGCACACAAAAAGCACATACAAGGATAATGTCTGCTTCTGAATGTAAAGGCTCTGTCTTGAATGCTCACACATTGTCTTAACAGTCCTGTCTTTTTTGTCTTTGATCCAAACTCTTATGTGCTCCCATGTCCGCTTTGCCATGATGACTTTGGGAAACTCTTTGGCAGGACTTCATTACTCCGTGCCTTCCTGTCCTTATGGAAACCAACCATCTACCTACGGAGTGATGGCAGGTAAGAGGCAAACTTTCAGCTGGGTGAGCTATTAAGTGTTGGGTTTGGTCAGTTTTCTCTTAGAGGAATTGCTTCAAGACAATTGCTTAAAGAAGATAGGACTGAGGTTAAGACATTAGAAAAGTGGTTGGGAAATTAGGGGTCAGTGCCCAGAGTTTCCCCAAACTTTGGCATGTCTTGGGAAATCACTCTGTCTCTTATTTTTCTCTGCAAGACTGGGACGTTGCTGCTCTTTTTGCTTACCTATGCTCACCTTGGTGACCATCACTTATTGAGGGACCAGGAGCGATGTACCCAACGTACCTGTGTATTACCAGTACCTGGGATGTGGAGCCCTGACTGGAACTATAAAATAAAATGATGGCATAAGGGAAGGATAGCTGAATTCAGCAGGCAGACCATAAAGATGGTAATGGATTTTTACACTCATGAATGTATGCTAGCATCCTGCTCAGCTTTCCATTCCCAGGCTGAGTAAGAAAAAAGGAACTGTTACTCCATGAAAGTTCAAGTAGCAGTCGATGAGATAATGCCATGAACCAAACTAACATGACTCACAGGAAATAATCGTGAGATAATCCAGAATCAAACTCAGCATTTTATTTCACTTAAGAATGAAGGAGATGGTCAGCATAGATGAATACATCTGAATCAGGGCTTTTTAGGGGCAGATAGTAGACTTCCTTCATGTTGTGTAAATGTCCAAATGCTTGCATTTCATTGTGCATTTATGTTTCTGTTGCAAACATTCCTGGCATTGTTCCCTGGGAAAAGTTAATAGGTATTAAACAAAATATATTTCTCAGAAGTTCATTTTGTTTCATTCCAAAATAAGTGCATGTTAATTTTTTTTCCTTTCTTTTTCACCCTTAATTTTTTTTAGGAATCAAGCCTGCAACTCCAGAGATGCTATCAGCAAGTCTCTCCCAGAGTCGCATCTTACAGACGTGCAGCATGCCACATCCCAATGTGGTAAATGGTGTCAGCACCTTGCAAAGCAAGTCCTTCTCTTCTCTAGTCTTTTCCTTTATTCTTTGATAATTATTTTTTCTTTGTGGTTATCCTGTGTGAAGCGTATAAAATATTCCTATGGGGTTAGAACTCCCAACACTGGTGAGAGCAACCAGGGAAGTGAAGACAAAAAAAGTAAATGGTGAAAGGCGTGGGAGGCTACTGAAGTTCCGAGTTCTGCTCCAAAGTTTTGTGTAATTTAGAAAATTGAGAAGGATGTCTTGAGAACCTGGAATTTACTGGCTGTTCCAAATACACTGAAAAGTTAATATTTCTCCAATGATATTCTTTCTTCCTCCTTCATGTCAGAGACCCTATACCTCTATGTAAAATATCTAGGGAAAAAACAGTCTTCACTTGTAACTGAATCTCCATGTTAAGCCTGATACTTGGGGGGGGAAGATAAAAAAAAAAGATAGCGTGAGGTAGTTTTGTTTTCTCCTTGAGCAATTTCTTTTTTAAGCCAGAACAGTTATTTGGAATATGTTCCGGCTTGGGTTGGGTTTTTTTTGTTTGTTTTTTCTTTGAGCTCTTGCCTGTGTACTTTCCTCAAACAAATTTTATGCTAAAGCTAAACCAAGACAGTATCTTCTCTGAGCATCAAATGTTATCTACATGGAAATATTCTTTCTACCAGAAAATAGAGGCAAGCGCATTTTAAGTGACTCAAAATAACATAGATCTATCAACCTTGTTGTGCCACTTAATTCCAGCTGGATTGTTATTTGTTTATGTTTGGACCATTTACCATCTTAGAATCATAGAATTGTCTAGGTTGGAAGAGAACTTTAAGATCATCTAGTCCAACCATCAGCCTAATTCTGATCTTAATTAAGTGCATCACAGTCTGCTATGAAATAGGATGGCTAGGGCCTGTGAAAGTGGATGTTGGTTTGTTTTCATGTATGGGGACGAGAGACCATGTCTCCTAGGAGATCCTCACTTTTGGATACTTTGGTGTATGTTATATAATAAATATTACAGACCTGGATTTTTGAGATGATGAAGGTGCATTTTTATTGTGTAGCAGTAAAGAATAATTGCTCTGCATTTTCTTTTTGGTATTGTTCAGGTAGCCTGACTCCTTGCCTTTATAAATTCCCGGAGCACGCCCTGAGCGCCAGCTCCTGTGCCCTGGGCCACAGCTTCACATCCATGCACCAGTCCCTCCTTGCAGACGACCCCGCCGCTGCAGACTTCAAGCAGGAGTTCCGCAGAAAAAGCAAGTCTGTCGAAGAGCCCGTGGACATGGACTCCCCTGAAATCAGGGAACTCGAGAAATTCGCTAATGAATTCAAGCTGCGGAGAATTAAGCTGGGTATGTGCTTTATGTCCATGAACAAAAGGCTGAAAAATTCCAGTGGAAGCCAGATTATTTCTGAATGTTTTACGGTCTGGCCTCTGCAGTTGGCTAATCATAACTCTAATCCTGCCTCGCACTGCCAAACTTTCTCCGTTCCTAGAAGACTTGCACAGAATTAATGAACTTCAGCTTTTTGCAGCTTAGTATGCAGAAAGGGACTTTAAACTTCCCTGCCCTTAAATTATTTGTCTTAAATGCAGAGAAAATTATTGCTGTTCATTAAATTTCATTTAGTAGCAGGTGCATTATTTTTGCACAGTCTCAAAATTTCTGCAACTTAGGGCAACACATGCTCTCACCTTTCATGCCCATTTGCTTCCCCATAAAGCGCTCCATTTCACAAGATGGTGCAATGTCATTGTAGTATACAAGATGGGTGCCATCCGTGGCAAATCTTTCATAGCAGTGGGAAGCTTCTCTTCCTGATGTATTTTCTGGTGCCAAAGCACCAGTACAGCAGTGACTGGTGTCTTTGTTGCTGTCTGATATCTACTGGGGCTAACGCAAGAGGGATTGCAGTAGAGGGTCTCTGGTGGGCTGCTTTTCTTCCACTGGGCAATCCTACCTGAGGACAAAGGTGGACCGAGCCCTGGTTTTCTTATCCGTAGGGAATTTCTCCTTTCTACAGAAGGATTGAGGTACATTGTAAAGTAAAACCCCATCTCATCCTTCTTTGAATTGTACTGAAAAAAACCCAAATATCTGGTGGTGTAGATTCATCCTACTTATGAACACTGGGGACTCTGAATGAAGAGATGCAATTTTTACATATTGCTTATCACATTATATTGTATCATTACAAAATAAGGCATCCTACAGAAACATAGCTTTTTAAATATAAAAAAAGATGTAAGGTTATTACAGGTATCTATGCATTACCTCAACAGCTAGAAAGCTAGTGCAGTGCAAAAATAAAGACTGAAACAAAAATTTAGGATTTAAAATAGCATCTGCAACTTGGTCAGTTTTGCTGTATATCATGTCAACCAATGCAATAGGGAGGTTTGCTAAGCCCCATGCTGTTAGTTGCTGTAATTATTACTGCATCTTCATTCTGAATTTGTGAGGGAACAAAACTTCCTCTGATGGAAACAAATGACCCAGAGCCTGGGCTTAATGCTCTGATGGGAAGAATCGATTTGCACAGGAAAACTAATCTGATGTTGAGCTTTACAAGGGAAGACAGAGTTAATATGAGCTGTGGATCTGAGACTGAGAGACACCAAGGTAGTGCAATCAAAGCGGAGGTAAAAAGCTGCCTTGTGAGACACTCAGCATCTAAAGAGATCCTGCCGGCTTTGGCACAGAAGCAGGAAGGGGGGACGATGAGCCAGACCCCTGAAGGTGGCAGATACACTCAGAGCACTGAATAGAGAGCTGCTGTTACAAAGTCAGTGTCTATGGGTAAAGTGCAGCATTTCTCTGATTGCTTAAACTTAGTTGTTGCAAGAAACAACTAAAGACCATCAGTGCCACCAGGGATTAGTTTATCGCTATTGCACCATCTATAGAAAGAAAGAAAGGGTGTCTGGATCCTTCTCATATCCCTAGACTCAGAGTGTAAAACTCCACTAAATCAGTAAAATCTCCACTGAAACCAACAGGAAACTGAACACATCTCTGACATGAGCTTGGAGTCTGCCACAGAGACCTCTGCAGAAAGCCCATCCTGACAATGCAGGCACACTGTTCGCAAGTCAGCACTGAAGAGCTGAGCAATAAGAGCTCAAGGAAAATAACTCTTTCTAGAAAACTCCAAAGAGACTTTTTTCTCTTTTTTTTTTTTTTTTTTTATTTTGACAGGCTATACACAAACCAATGTCGGAGAAGCACTGGCTGCTGTGCATGGCTCTGAATTCAGCCAAACTACTATTTGCCGTTTTGAAAACTTGCAGCTGAGTTTCAAGAATGCATGCAAACTGAAATCAATACTGTCCAAGTGGCTGGAGGAAGCAGAACAAGTAGGAGGTAGAGAATTGAAATCCTCTAAATATTGATTTGCATTTAAACCAGAATCCTATATATATGTTGAATTACTAATACGTGCCCTCCATAGACTGAAGGTTTTGTTTTACCAGCTTTAAATACTAAGTTGTGCTTATATTAAATTTTGGTTATCTTTTTTTTTTGGGTGGGTGAGTAAGAAGGGGCAAACTGAAATGCGTGGAGGGTACAGAATAGTAGAACCACCACTACCTGGCCTATTGTAAGTAATTTCTTTCATTTCCACCCCAGAAAACTAGCTCCACTGCTGTATCATAGATCAGAGCTGTTATTAGGATCTGCAGGACAGCCCATTTAGCAGTGTACAGAGGGATTCTTCACTATCAAAGGACTCTTCCTTCCAGCCTCTGGCATACGAGATGTGGCTATGAGGGAAAGGATTTGAGCTCAGCTGAGGTAGTCTTTGAACCCTGGAGAAGATTAGGATGGCATAGAGGTTTTTGGTGAGACTTTTTTGCTGCTAGGGGATTCTATGTCTTTTTCCTAGTTACTTTCCAGTTGCAAGAAGAGTTGTGGGGTTCACTGGGCAAAGTGTACTTTAGAACAGGTTGGCTGATTTCAAGGAAATGGGTTGTTTTAAAGAAGAACCTTTTCAGTTGGATGAATTGTGATGCTGGGAAGCAGTATGCTTGGAGTTGACAGCAAAAGCCAGGACTACCACTGTGCAGCACTCACCTAGCACGGGAAGAAAGAGAAGATGATCTTAATGCTACTTTTTGAGTTTGCCATTGTGTTCAACAGTAGGAAATCATAGAATCATAGAATGGTTAGGGTTGGAAGGGACCTCAAAGATCATCAAGTTTCAACCCCCCTGCCACGGGCAGGGACACCTCCCACCAGACCAGGTTGCTCAAGGCCCCATCCAGCCTGGCCTTGAACACTTCCAGGGATGGGGCAGCCACAACTTCCCTGGGCAACCTGTTCCAGTGTCTCACCACCCTCAAGGAGGAGCTGCTTCTCCAAGACAGCATGGCCCTAGAGACTAAACAGCAACTTTTATGCTTACCTTTCTTAAACCCAGTGGGAGGAAATCTCTTCTGGCAGCACCCTCATAGTAAAAAATTTCTTCCTGAGATCTAATCTGAATCTTTTTTCTTCCAATTTAAAACCATTTCCCCTTGTCCTATCATTACCCTTCCTGGCAAAGAGTCCCTCCCCAGCTCTTCTATAGGCTCCCTTCAGATATTGAAAGGCCGCTATAAGGTCTCCCCAGAGCCTTCTCTTCTCCAGGCTGAACAATCCCAGCTCCCTCAGCCTGTCTTCATAGGAGAGGTGCTCCATCCCTCTGATCATCTTCGTGGCCCTCCGCTGCACCTGTTCCAGCCGGTCCATGTCCTTTCTGTGTTGAGGACTCCAAAGCTGTACACAGTATTCCAGGTGGGGTCTCACGAGTGCAGAGTAGAGGGGCAGGTCCTGAGACCTGCTGGCCACGCTTCTCCTGATGCAGCCCAGGACACGGTTGGCTCTCTGGGCTGCCAGTGCACACTGCACACACTTCACACGCGCTGCTTCTGCCACACACTTCAGTTTCCTTTGAACCAAATGTAGAAAAGCTTCCTTCCTCTGTAACTGGACTAGAAATCAGAGACTGTTCCCAATGTGGCTGGCACACGGCAAGTCACTTGTAAGTGGTTTGGGGTGAGTAGCAGCTGCTGACTGCCTGAGCAGAGTCACCAGCGTGAGATACAGGGTCAGGTCATGCCTGCAGGCAGCAGCCTTGGGAAGTGAGGCAGGACTTATCCATCAGAAAGTGAGGTGGAAGAGGCAGGTAAATAAACGTGGTTGAGAGCCAAGGCTGTATTTCTGAAGAGAGGGTGAGCCAAGGGGTGTGGAAATGGACTCTTCTGCCCTACCTGCAGGGTAGGAGGAAGAAAAAAAGGAGGGGGCTGAAGTAGAGCTGCTCTAGTACTCAGGCACTGAGACAGCACTGCTTGTAGCTCTACCAGTGGCACACCATTTCTGCTAATAACCATTTGTAGCCTGAGGTAAAACAATGACCATCTTAAAGAAAAAAGTGTTCCTGTTTGTGGAGCTGCTCTTATTCAGTGGCATTATCTGATAGCTTTCTACTGTCTTCAAAGAAAGGGATTGTTTTTCTGGAGGTAATTGTGCTTGTTTTCCATTCCCTGTGAAGGTAACTGCTGGGGTTTTGTTTTGTTTTGAATGCAGCTTTATACAATGAAAAAGTTGGAGTGAATGAGAGGAAGAGGAAGCGCAGAACCACCATAAGGTAATAAATATTTAGGGTGTTACATGTTATCCCTTTGGCTAAGACTCTTGTTTTTCTTGGGCTTGAAATCAAAGCGTTATTTTCTATTAATGAATCTCTATAGATAGTGTTTCAAAATGTTTCACTATTTTGTAACATTCCAGGGAAGAATAACAACATAACCCTCCAAAACCCCAGTTTGGTCCAGATATACTACCTTTCCCAATTAAAGACTTCCCCCCCCCCCAACAAATGACGACATACTTTATTTTGAAAAAATATTTTATTCCAATTCTGGCCAAATTTGATGAGGTCTATATAATGAATAAGGTATCAGAGCATCTTTCTTTATATTTTGAGAGGTTCTACATTATACCAAAATAATTTCCATTATTTTGAGGTCTGGAAAGTTTGAGAACAAGCTTTTACATACAATATTGGATCCTCATCTCTGTCTTCTGTCATTGCATTATTTGGAGTTCCCAAAGAAGCACTGTAATGAGCCAAATGGAAAAAAAACGGGAGTTGTACCGGGAATCTCCTTCTCTTGCTTCTCACATCTCTGGTGGCCATCTATCTAACCTCAACTTCATATGGAAATCAAGCCGGCTGGTAAATCATATTACAAAAACAATTACCAAATAGGAAAAATGAGAACATGGGGTAATTCCTTTTCCTTTAGATATCCCAGGATAGTCTTTGGTGAAGAAGAATTCACTCGGGGGGCCTCAAGGGAGCTGTAGCATTCTTCTACAGGAAGGGAATTTGGCTGCCTCTGGGCACAACCTTGGTGCTGCCAGGCCCTATCCGTTACAGTGAAGTTCCTGTTCTCTGAACAGGGATCCTTCCTGATGTGCCGTGCCACCTCCCGGAGACCTAGGTTGCTCTGTCATCCCACAAATTCAGAACCTCATAGCCATAGCCACAACTTTTCCTTTCAATTTGAGACTTGTTTGTTTTTTGGTTTTTTGTTGGTTTTTTTTGGTTGGTTGGTTGTTTTTTTGTTTTGTTTGTTCATTTGTTTGTGGTTTTGGGGGGTTTTTTGGAGTCATATTACCTTTGACATAAAGAATAAAATGAAGATGTGATTTTTCTCTTTTGAGGTAAATATTCTCCTTATGGGATGCTCCTCAATTAGCAGTGAGTTGGGAGTTGAGTCATAGCTCATTTGCTCATAGGAGCACGTCACAAGGGATGAAGTTTTACTGCTGGGAGGGCAGTTTTACTTCTCAGCTTCTCTCCAAGGCAGTAAGGACTTGAGTGGCAAAAACTGGCCAAGACCTTGCCAGTTTGTGTGGAACGGCCCACATGAGAGCTAGGAGTTGAGAGCATCTCAGTCCTAAGTATTTTCCTCTGGCTGGAGGAACCCACTGAAGACTGCTTATCTAACATTGTGTGCTTTGGTGGTGCTTTTTAACAGCTATAGGAGGAAATCAGTCCTCATATTAAGCATTTTTTAATTATTCCTGATTTTACATATAACTCCACTGCACTGGGAGTATCAAATATGGCAGGTTGTCAAGGGCACAGATAATTGTGGGGAAGTTCAGTACCAAATCCCATATAGTAATAAAATATTAATTTTTCTTTTGAAGGCATATAGCACCTCAGTTTGAAGACCTCAAACTAATCAGGGATATGAACTTGATACGAACTGCAGCTGTACTCCTAGCAATTCTTAATGGCTGTTTGAAGGCAAGCTAGAAATAAACCAAAACTAACTAAAATAGGTTAGTCGTATCCTGAGCACAAACCACTTAATTTGAATTTGTTCTTTCCTGACTTAATCAGAAAGCCTAAGAAACTGTTAGGCAAAACCAGTGATTTTTCTATACTTCTGTGTGTGCAGAGCTGTAGATTTATTAATTAAGCTGTAGATTTACTAATTAAATAGTTTTGGTAATGTTACTAAGTATTTTGAAATAGACCTATAAGTGAAAGACGAAAAACATATTACAAATCGATTAATGAAATAGCCAGAACTCCAGCTGATACTTTGTGTATTCCTATGACAGAAACACCAGCTCCTCATTCCCAGGATAATGTATGAAGTGCCCTCTTGTGTCCAAAGAAATTACTGCTACTGCTGAAGCCAGTTTTGGGTGCATCCTGGTGGTGCATGTTCATGTCTCAGATACAGTTCGTTTTCTGAGAATATGTAAAATGAACAGGAAGCAAATTCTATCTGGCAATAAGGAAAGACAGCAGTCTTAACGTGCCTTGTTTATTGAAACGCTCAACTTTGGTCACTGCCAACTGTGAGGAATAGATTAAGGCAGACTTTTAGAAAATGCAATGGTTGCTAAAACAGTTTGCCATAATCTCTCTGATTTCTAGAAATGCTCTAGTACCCTCTCTGTAATAAAACACATTGCAGAACTTGGTGCAACTTATGTTTCCCAAACTGTAAGTGGTGGAGATCTTCACCTTTGTAAATCCAAATGATCTAATGCTACCAGGTAATCCCGGTAATGTGTATTTGCTGAACCCCCCCAAAACTGCTGTGACTGAGGTAGAATGAGTGGTCAGGCTTGTTCCGATTCCCGTGCTCCCATTCATGTCTAGCTAGCAGCTGTATCTCCTAGAGAACATCAAGAAGCACAAACATTTCATGATCAGCACTGAAATTGCACCAAACTTCATGCTTGAAATTACTTTGTGCTGAAATGATGTGACGCTGCCCGTGTCAGCAAATAAGTACAGTGGACTTTAAGCTCTGTAGGTTTACTTTATATAGAAAATGAGGAAACAAACCAAGTCACTACCTTCAGTGCTCTTACTTGGCCCTTCTTCTGAACTAGTCATGAAAGCCTGATTGTGTCAGAAAAATTTTAAAGCTGACATTTTATCCCTTTATCCAGCATTGCTGCCAAAGAAGCCCTAGAGAGGCACTTCGGAGAACAGAGCAAGCCTTCATCTCAGGAGATTATGAGGATGGCAGAGGGGCTCAATCTCGAGAAAGAAGTTGTGAGAGTTTGGTTTTGCAACAGAAGACAAAGGGAAAAAAGAGTGAAGACAAGTTTACATCAGAACACCTTTAGTTCTATTATCAAGGAGCATCATGAATGCCGGTAAAGCTTTTCCATGTATAGATGTGGATTTCTCTTTTGCTTTTTGTAAATATTGTAAATACTATGTTGTTTAAAAATGGAAAGAAAAAATCAGTAACCCTCTTGTTTCTCTTAAAAGCTTCAGACGTAATGTGTTGTGGAAGACCCAATTTTAATGTAAAAGGTTGGAAACAAATTAAATGCTACTGCATGTATATAAAGAGTTGGAGGTCCCTGCTTAACTGCAAGGAACGTATCATGCATTATTCAACTAAAAATGCTTTCCAAGTTGCACAAGTAGTAGCAGTTTCCTTACGCTGTGCCTTTCTTTGATCCGTGGTCCATTTAAGGATTAATGGAGAACCCCATGTAGGTACCCTAAGCATCAGGAAACAAAGTCTTTGCATTGTATGTGAAGAAACGTTAAAAATCCTGATCTCAGCAGCTGTAGTATTGAAAGTATCTTGCCTCTGCATGTCCATGAGTGTTCTTTGCCCCCCAGTCCCATGCTCATTGTGTTAACCTTTGCAAGATTGTAAGCCAGTAGGTACATGGCAGGGTCCCATCTGCAGGGGTGAACGCTGAGCATCAGTGAGAAATGAGGAGAAGGTGACTAAGCGACCTTAAACAAGCAGTGGTGATACTGCTGAATATCTAGGTATGTCCGAGGGTAAGATATACCTGTGGGATCTTGTGGGACTGCCACTACATCTGAGAGCCGGGTAGAGGAACCCTAGCTGAACTCAGCTACCCGCTCACAACAGCTGTACACCTCTGAGAGAATCATTTCAGGTAAATTCCTTGTGTAAATTCAGGACAAAACCATTAGAAATGTGCCATAATTGCTGTCATTATTTATGGTAGAGTAAGCTTACCTGTATGGAGGTGTCAACGCTGTTCCTACTGCGTGCTCTGCCTCAGGGTATCATTTGACTGTCTTAAATGGGTGTCAAGTAAAAGTGAGCTTTTCTTATACTTGTTATCAAAGGTAATTCTTACTAATTTATTATATGTGTCAAAGTCTGATTTGGATAGGCTAAGCTATACAAATTGGTATACAATTTACCTTACCTTAAGACTTTGTGACCTGAGGGGGAAAAAATAGAGAATTATCAGGGGGGTTATTACTTTAGGCTTTCTCTGCATTGTATTTTTCTGATTAAATCCATGTGTGGACATACTTACACCAGAGATAGTGTGTTAGGCTGAACAAAGAAGGCCTTTGCACTCTGACATAAATATACACACAAAGCATTTATTGCACTGCACATTCCCCTCTCTTGCATCCCACTAATTGAAAATAATCCCTTATTTGTCATCCTCTAGCCTAGAGAGATAATGGGGGGGGGAACCCAACAGTGCCAGAGCTCCACCTATCAGAAAGCTAGACAGTGAGAAACTGAATTAATGACTGTAGTACTCACCAGGGATAGATTATCCAACCATCTCATCAGCCCTGCTCATTGTTATTAGAATAGCCCATTACCATATATGTATTTTTGACTGTTTTCCCAGGACTGAAATTAAGTGAGTACACACAAGTGGTAATGGCCAGATACGTTTTATTTTTCCATAAAGCAGACCTGATGATTTAGAAAACGTCTAGCTAATAGGCCCACAGAAAGCAAAAGGAGTTTAATGTTCAAGGCCACTTAGAAGCACTGTGTACAAGTTAAGTGCTCTCTCTCTCGGGTACATTAAATTATCTCTGATACCTATTACAGTGACCATAGGCATATTCAGCTATGGAAATCAGGCTCTTGGATTTTAAAAAAAAATACATTTTTATGGATGAATGCATCGCTACAACCCCTTAATTTAGAAGAAAACTTCCATTTAATAACTCAAAGGGGAGAAACTGTGGCACATAGTTTCTTCAGGTTGTTCTCATTACTAGCACAGCTCACCCACACCGAGCTGTAGCCTTGATCCATCACATGTATCAACACATCATGAACTTTCAAAAAGAATGAAAGATAAATACAGTTGAGAAGATCAGCACTCGGTGAAGGTGATGGCAGGCATTTGTGTACCTTTCATGTTATGTGACCTAATGTAATGTATGTTGAAGCTATTATCTGATATAAAAAAAATTATTTATATTCTAAATTATTGTCTTAATTATAAAAGGCTTCCTAGAAACGCTATAAACCTGTACTTCTCAATCTCCCATCCAATAAAGTATTCTTATACATTTGGTATTGCAGATAATGGTTTGTAGTTCTGCTTTGGTAACACTTTGGTTTTTTTGAAGTTGTGCATAATACTAATGTGCTTATTCATTTTAGCATGCTGTAATAGTTAATTCAAGAGCAGACTTACTGTAACATTGAGATTTCTAGTCTTACAAGAAGTCTCTCAAGTGAAGGCTAATTGCAGAAGCATAGCAAGGTAAAATGAAAGGTGACACAAAGTGCCATTTTCTTGCAAAAGAATGATAAAAGGCTAAGTGGAGGAAGCAGCCACCATTAAAACACTTGGAGCTGTTGCCACAGGAAGACAAACAAATTAGAGCAGAATTATTTAAAGAGAAAAAGCTGGATGAAATCAATTTAATGTGGTGCAGCTGCAGCCATTAGACTTAGAGAAAGTGGCAATTCATTTTTTTTCTTGTAGGAACAGCTTATGGGTAATTGCCATCTATCACTCTTGATTGGGGAAAACCCCCTAGATAAGACTTCTGAGGGGCAGCTTTATAAACCTGCAAGTAAGAGTTTAGTTGGGTGTTTGACTAACATGGGCTGCACTGTTTTTCTTTGAGATGTTTGTGGGGTTTTTTTTTTCTTGCTTTTACTTTTTCCATGGTAAGTTTAGGCAGGGTGTTAAAATTAGAATACAGGACAAAACAAGACGTTATGACAACATATAAATCCGGTTCACCTGCCTCTGAAGTAACATCCTGCCCCCCTCATCTGAAGGATACAACAGACCTAGAAAAGGCTTCTATGCAGGAAAAGCTGATGATCGAAGGTAAGATGAATAACTGTTTAAACTACTGTCTCTCTTCTAGATTTAATGTGTCTGTGTTGAAATCTATAGAGATATACTGAATTATGAGCTCTGCTGAAAGGCTGAATGGAGCCAGGCTGTTGACCATCTTGCCTAATGTAAAAACTAGGAGCAGACACGTGCAGCTGGAAAGAAGCTTAAGAAAAAATAAAAATAGTGGTTCTTAATGCAGTGGCGAAAAAAAATTCAGGGAAATCCTCTACAAAAAAATGTGGGTGCCAGAATTTATATCGACCAGTTCAGAGATGAAAAAGCCACTCAAATCTGTTGTATACAGAGTAACTTACATAGGGCTCTAGAAGTGCTCTAAATTGAAAATTAGTTAGAGGTTGGCAGAGCATTAGGGGAGGAAGCGGCACCTTGTTCTCCTATTTTCCTGGGCATTGCTTATGGGCACTTGTGGAGTAGGATTCTGGGCAAGATGGACCTCAGTCTGCTCCAATGGAGTCATTCTTAGGTGTGTGCAGAACTGCATTGTTATTCTTGGATGGAGGACTTTCCGATTCAGTGCTATTAAGGTCTCAGCGAGGATAAATGAGTTAAAGGATTGAATGGGGGTTTTTTTGTGGTTTTTTGTGCATTTTTTTTTGTCTGCTAAGAGCAATTTAAAAGCAATTTGTTTCTAAGTAGGGAATGAAATTTTGTTATAGACAGCAACAACACATTAACTATAATTCAAATAAATATAAGCAAGCCTGCAAACCTACACCACTTCTCACTGCTGCTGAAAGATTTTTACACAGATTAGAGCTGCAGGACTTAAAAGATAACTGTCAGATTAGAGCTGCAGGACTTAAAAGATAACCGAAGATAACAGAAACACCACATAGATATTGACAGTAGCCCTAGCTCATCAGTCTTACTAAGACTAAAAAGAAATGCCTTTATTACTGTTTGTCAAAGACTGTAGATAGACAAAGGAACTCAGAATAGAATTATGCCTATTTTGACAGTCGTTAAAAAGATAAAGTGCAAATTTCATTCAGAAAGGACACAAGTCTTGGTGTTCAACCAAAATACAGTCAATGAGTAATATTTTATACCTAACTAATTTCAGATTACGGTTTATCTTTCAGTGCTTAAGAGCAGTAGTTGGGCACTCGGATACAGATAGAAGGGAATACAAACTTGATCAAGTTTTTACTGAATGTTGAGTTTAAATAAAAGACCCACAAGCAACTACAACAAATATTAGAGCTGAGATCAAAGGAAAATTTATTAGAGCTAACAGGAGTCCAAAGAAAGCTCACTAAGAGACAGATGTGTAAGACTAACCCTAAAGAGGACAAAGCCATTGTGGAATAAAAAGCGTTTTATTAGATTTTTACAAAATAACTTTTAAAAAAAAAAATTCACCTCATATTAGATATATGCAATATAAATACTTAATGTATTCCTACCCACTACCTCACAGATTCATAGTTTGTCCATTACTTCCTTCAAAGAGAAAGAACATCTGCATTTCTACGCCAAAAACCAGATGAAGGCTCACCTATGTTTTTTCTCTCTGCTGACTTCAGTCCTAAAAAGCAGATGGTGTGACAACAGTAGATTCATAGAGGTTATGGTTTCCTACTACACTTTCTCGAGCAGCAAAGCCTCTTTATGAAGTTTGTAGACCCCCCTCCCCCCCCCATTTATCCTGGTTTCACTCTTTGAAGGTGTTCTGCTTTTCTCTTTTTAAAGCCGAGATTATTTTGTTGTTTCTGTTCAATGAATAGCCCCACTAAATCAGCACAACTAGCAAAAATCTCCAGCAGAGTAAGGGCTGAGGAACTTCAAACCATCTTGGGAAGTGGAACTGGGAACTACATTCTCAGACTTTGTCATCTATTTAAAATATAAACAGTTCTTATTTCATTAGCTCAATGCATTCCACTTAAAGGTAGAATCATGCTGATGCAGTCCAGAGACCATAGAAAAACCTTCACAGAATCAGAACATTTTTATTATAGCGTTTAGACAGGTAATTATCAGGTATCATCCAAAACTGTTCTCAAAACTAAAGTTTAGATT